TCCTAACTCCCATGCCCCTATCTCTAACCCTAACCCAAACTTCTTAGCCTTGAACACACTAACCATAAAAGCTAACCCCCGCCCTCATACTAACAACTAACCTAAACCTAAACCCTCAGCCCCTCATACTGAACAAGCTAACAACTAACAGTAAACCTAACTCACCGCTTACCTCATCTAACTCTAACGCTAACCAAACTTAACTCTAACCTTTGACCCCACACTAACCTAAAGCTAACCCGCCCCCCCTCATTACTAACAACTAACAGCTAAGCCTCACAGCCAAACCCTCATTCCAAATCCTAACCCAAACTTACTCTAAAACCTTGACCCCAACATAACCTAAACCTCACCCGCCCCTCATACTAACAACTAAAACTAAACAGATAAACCTAACTCCAGCTTCCTCATCTCTAATCTAACCCTAAATCCAAGACTACTCTAAACCTTGACCACACAACCTAAACACCTAACCCGCCCCCCCTAATACTAACAACTAACCTAAGCCTCACCCAACCCTCATCCTAACCCAAACTTACTGCTAACCTTGACCCCAACATTAACCTAAACCAACACCCGCCCCTCATACAAAACAACTAACCTAAGCCTCACCCCAGCCTCATCCTAAACCCAATTAACTCTAACTCTTGACCCCACATAACCTAAGCCTCACGCCCAAGCCCTCATCCTAACCCTAACCAAACCTGCCTTAACCCCAACACTAACGCACCTAACCGGCAGCAGATCCTCATACCCTGCGGGCAGGGACGACTCACCTTGCCGGCCGTGAGTGGAAGTAGTGCGCGCTCGACAGGGCGAGGACCGCGCTCGGCATCTGCCCGCGACTTCTCGACGAGCACGCGATGAGAGAGATCCATCTTTCTCGATCGATCGTCGCGTATTCTCCTCCGTCAGGGCGATGATGTCGTCGTCCTCCTCCTCGTCGTCGTCCGATCACCACTCCACAGACTGCGGCGGCGAAGAGAAAGGGAGGAGAGGGGTGGAGATGCGAGGAGAGATCGATTAGCGCACACGAGAGATCCTATTAATACTATACTCCAAATTGAGATTCTTGGCTGCCGTTGCTCTACATACACTCTACAGACTTACCGACGTGACTTCCCTCGAGACTTCTCTTCATGCTAATTCTCGTCCACGTTCAAAGCGAAAATGAATAATCCGTTCGTGTGCATGACAGGGCAGTTTAACATACGACACATATAAAGCTAAGTGAATAGTCAGTCAATGTGAGAGACCCCGAGTATATGTGTAGCCACCTTCAAAAGCTAAATAGATAACCAGTTATGTGAAGAAACTTAGGCCCATGAGACCACCTCAAAGCTACATCAATAGTCTTGCAAAACGACACGGGCTGCTTACGAGAGATGTTTTAATACTACAAGAGTAGCCCATGTATGTACATAGACATGGGTCATACAACAGAACATGTTTAATACTACAAGAGTCAGCCATGTAATGTACAAGACACTGGGTGCATACACAGACAGGTGTTTAATACTACAAATAGCCATGTATGTACACCAGACATGGGTGCATACACAGACATGTTTTATATACTACAGAGTAGCCATGTATGTACAAGACATGGTGCATACACAGACATGTTTTAATCTGACAAGAGTAGCCAATCGTATTACAAAGAATGGAGTGCATACACAGACATGTTTGACATACTACAAGAGTAGCCATGTATGTACAAGACATGTCATACATACAGACATGTTTAATACTACAAAGCAGCCATGTATGTACAAGACATCGGTTGCATACACAGACATGTTTAATACTACAAAGAGTAGGCCATGTATGTACAAGACATGGTGCATACACAGACATGTTAATACTACAGAGAGTAAGTCCATGGTATGTACAGGACATGGGTGGCATACACAGACATGTTTAATACTACAAGAGTAAGCCATGTATGTACAGGGACATGGGCGCATACACAGACATGTTAATACTACAAGAAAGTACCATGTATGTAAAGACATGGGTGGCATGACACAGAACATGTTTAATACTACAGAGAGTAGCCATGTATCGTACAAGAACATGGTGCAATTACACAGACCATGTTTAATACTACAAAGGAGTAGCCATGTATGTACAAGAACAATGGGCATACACAGACATGTTAATACTACAAGAGTACCCATGTATCGTACAAAGACATGGGTGCAATAACACAGACATGTTTAACTATACAAGAGTAGCCAATGTATTAAAGACATGGGTGCATACACAGACATGTTAAAAACTACACTGAATAATCGTGTCACCATGTGTATGAGAAACTATGCACAGCATTTTTAAACCTCTAACGATACGGTGGCGCGTGCGTGCGCGAAACGACTCGGTGCTTACGTATTCGTGCCTTGGTGCGAGTAGAAGCTCGATCATCGCGAGATGGCGCGCTGCGGTTGAGAAACTCGCACATCTCGCCACACCATCTTCGCGATGTCGAGGAAGAAGACGAAAACTCGGCGAGATGCTTGCCTGTTGCGGCTTGCAGTGGTGGGCGCTCCGTGCGAGATCTGCAGGCAGCGCACCGTCGTCACGACGACGGCGGGACAAGCGGAGCTTGTATAGCAATTAGTTGTTGACTGACACCGTCGAACACAAGAGGTTTCTGACATTGGGCCAGTTATTCAGAGTCTCAGTGACTAGCATGTTTTTTTGAGAAGGGGAGGGTAAATGATTAATTGTGATGTTATGGACAGTGTTATAAATGCAATTAACTGAATCAATTATTTAAAGATCGTTACGTAGTCTCATGGAGAACAAAAATAATATTGAAGGTGGTATTGAGTATGGTACGTCACAGAAAGGTATTCGAACTGCATAAGCTCAAATGTAGCTTGGATGGGAAATGTGAAATCCAACTTACCAAAGACAGAAGCATTTTTACAAAACGTTTAGCGCAGGACAAGTTGCCCATATCTCCCTCTTACCATCGTCTAGTCCTCTGAAAAAAGAACCATCACCGTTTTTATCGCCCTACCTGTCGAATTACAATACACTACCTATCACATAGATTATCTGAAACAAGTAACACTATGCTACATATACTTGTATTTAAGAACACATTAAATATTAAGAAACTCATTTTGCACATCACAATACATACTTGCAGAAACTTAAATATAACCAGAGATGCAGAAAATCGTTGTGGCGACGATATCAAGAATCGGCAAGACCGACTTGGCACATGGATTTACGGAAGCTGTCATCATGCGGCATCGTCACTTACGTGTACGAACATACACAACGGTTGCAACGTAACCTGCCACTTTTAAGATAGTGAGCATGGTGACTCGGCCGCAACTCTGGTTTGATCACAATGAATGCACAACCTGTGAAACATCTGCGGATAGAGAGATAGAGAACAGTAAATCAAGTCCTACTCATTCTCTTACATCTCTCCTTCTCCTCTCCCTTTCTATTCCCATCGTATCTTTACCCTCCATCCCTCTCTCATCACCCACTAATTCCTGTCTCTAGTGTGCTTACTTCTGTTGTATATATTGCAACCCCGCAAGTCCTTTCTCTCACGGAGCAAAAAGAACAATCAAATTAATACTTTAGCCTAGTCTTTCAACGCACACACACCAGTACTGATGCTTCCTTGCAAATTTTCAGAACGCATCTTAACGAAATTTTCTGTGAGAATTTGCTTTTACCTCAATTACTCGCAGAGCCATCGTTGTGAACATGTCATATCCAATATGCACATTCGTGTCGGCGCAAATTTCCAGCGAGACGTTGACAACTTGCCGAAAAGATTGCCGACGAAGAAGAGATACATCACGTAACCTGTCTGACTACTTGATTGGAACTTTATTAGTATCTGCACTGCCACACTGGTCGTCTGGCATATGTCTCCAGGAACCACTGGCAATAGACACCAAATGGCATAAACTCTCAAGATCCCATAAACAACTGCATCAGCGTTCAACAACTAATGCCGGTTCTACTTGAATCTAAACGTGTCGATAAATGCCCATTAGTATGGCTCCAGTGCTCGTACGAATTATCCATTCAATGTGAATAATTAGAGGGATTAAACTGAACTAAAACCCCTTATGACAGCGTTAATCAGTGTGCACAAGCAACAATTATTGTATGTAGAATCTGTATGTTACATGCAACTCTCTGCTCTAACGTTTACTCTGCTAACGATTTAATCTAATTGTAGCGCTTTGTTCACATTGTGTTTGTTGCCAAATCACGTGATGTTCATCTTTGTGGGTTGAGTCAGATTCAAGGTAGATCTTACTTAAATGAAGGCAATTGAGTTAGACTTGCACCAGCTTTAATAGCCCCAAATATCCAGACAACGGCCTTTCTATTGACATTATATCGAGAACAGAACAGCACACGGGTGATGCTAGCATGGATGGGATGACTGTGACACCT